ATAATGTTAAAATTCAGAAACTTCTGTCTCATGGGAGTTAGGTTTTCTACTTAGATTTACGACATCAGAAACATTATTGAGAAGCAATTGTTAAAGGTCTAAGTGCTTTCTTGTGCGGCTTACTGCGAAGCAAATGTCATTGAGATGAGAATGAATCAATTTTTAATCTTTAATATTTTGAATGACATTTAGTGGCAATGTGAGATTCCCTGATAATCTGCCTCTTCAGGAAATGAAAGTCATAACCTCATATATATCATGAGATTCTGTTGTCATTTCAAATAATCTTAAATTTTAAATAAAACGTTAGACTTATAATGAGAGAAACAGAATATACTAACTAGAATATGGGAGGATATTTAGCAGTTTGATAACTATAATTAAGTTATAAATTCAGTTTATTTCTACCTACGACAATGAATGATTGTCTGTGACTTTCAGAAGAGCGATAAAAATATTCAATGTTGTTTTCTTATAGTTTCTGTTGTTAACAGAAATTTACGACCATTCAAATCTTCATCCATGGTCATGTATAATCGGTGACAATAAAGTAAAACTTTTAATAATAATAATAATAATTCAGTAATATAGGAAGTCAACAAATTCAAAATGGAATTTGAAGTGGACGAAGAAGTGAAAATAAACCATAAAAAAACCTACTGCAGCGGCGAAGAACCTAAGAAAGAAAGAAAAACCAAATGCAATGTACAAAAAGCAGAAACGATGCCTCTTCATCGTCAATACTCTGCCCATACCAAACAAGCTGATGTTAAAAAAAAAACCCAAACACGTCAGTGCTTACTTAGTGCAGGCTTAAAAGAGGAAACCAAAGGTTTTATTCTTGCTGCACAAGACAAATGCTTGCTAACTAGAAATTACCAAGTACACATACTGAAAAATTGTATTAACCCGAATTGCAGATTCTGTGATAAATATCCAGAAACAATTGATCATCTTGTATCCGGTTGCATCAACAGAATATAGCTGCACTGAAAAATATTCAACTTTTACGTAAAGGAAACTGCAAGAAACTCGTATGAACACCACCCAGACCCGGTTATAAGGGATAGGACCTGTAATAATTTTATGGGACTTTAAAATACACACAGACAGAACAATCAAACTTAATCGCCCAGACATCAAAGATCAAAGACCACAAAAACAGAATGTGGTTTCTTATTGACATGGCAGACACTGAAGTCTGTAATGTATCTTTGAAGATCTTCCAAAAACTATCAAAATACAAGGATCATGAAGAGGAAATCTCAAAAATGTGATATATGAAGACATCAATAATTCCAGTTGTAGTTGGAGCCCTCGAATTGATTGGAAAAGGGTCCGATAGACTCAATTAAGGGATTACTGGTAGCCCATGCCTGAAAGAGATACAAAAAAATTGTACTCACATGTACAGATCACACATTAACATGAAATAATGACGGAATTTGTTAATGTACCTATTTATTTACAGCTAAACTTAAGGTTGTGGATAGCTAAATTTAAGGTTTGTGGCAGCTAAATTTAAGGTGGTGGGGAGCTGAATTTAAAATTTTAGTGAACTAAATATAAGTTTGTAGTTATACTTAAGGTTGTGAGGAGTTAAAATTTAAGATTTTCGGTGGCTAAATTTAAGTTTGTGGGTAGTTAAATTTAACTTTGTAATTATGTAAATTTAAATTTGTTGGAAGTTAAATTTGAGTTTGTAAGGCGCTAAATTTAAGGTTGTAGTTGAATTTAATTTTGTGGAGGCTCATTTAAGAACGGTTCTGAGGAATCAGGAAATATTGGTAGATAGCGTTCGCCTCTAAGTTGCGGTTTCTAAAAAGGCAAATAGCTCTAAAAGTTTCTTATTTCACCCACAATATTCACCTGACGATACACCACCCGAATTTTACATTTTCAGTTCTCCGTAAAACGATTTGATGCTGAAAACCTCCTCTCATGAAAATTACATGCAAGAGTGCGTCGAAAACATTTTCACATCAAAATCTGTGGAACTTTAATCAAAAGGAATAGAGGAAATGCTTGATAAGAGCCAACAAGTCATTGCAAATAATGTTTTATATATAATGGAATGAAATATAATTGTATTAAATATAATTTTTTTAAGAATTAAGATGATAAAGAAAAACGAAAATTATTTATGGCTCAACGCAATGATAATCCATTAACAATTGTAATATACAAGAGCAGCGAAAGTTGACGAAAATCCGGGTAACTGTTCAGAAAGTGTCTAAAATTTGAAGCAAATCGAGGTAATTAATAGAATCACGCTCAAAATCTGAAGTAAATCGAGGTGGCTAATAGAAATAACATAAAAATCTGAAGCAAATAGAAGGAACTAATAGAAACAATATAATAATTAAGCAAATCGAAATAACGATATCATTTGTCGCCAGTGAAAACGGAAGTTACTTTTCCTATGAACAATCAATGAGGAAAAATTAAGGATAAAAACGGAAAAGAAAGGAAACAAAAGCACATAATTTTTTCTTTAACTTCTAAACAAATATATTTATCTTTTTTATTTCTGTTTTTCTCTGTTTATAAGATTTTCCTGACTTTCGGTTGATACGGTCTATGGCGATTGATGTTGAATTTAAATTTTTGAAGATTTAATTCTCAGCGAAGCAAGTAAACGAAAATGAGTTCCACAGGTAGAAAGTAGGAGAAAAGAAAATGTTGGCAGTTACATTTCATTATTTCAAACAGTAACAATGTTGGACCTCGATGCCAATCTAGTAGTACGCTTCGATTCATATATATTCGTGACACCAAAGGAAAAAGATCATCAGAGCAGAGAATTGCTATGAAAATATATTTGTAGAAAAGACAGAGGAAAGGCACGTCATATCGGTGGGAAAGTGACTGAAATCGAGATTTCATATCAGGATCGAATACATTACAGATCCTTTTTTGGACTTTGTCAAAAATCTCTAAGTGTACAGCAGGAGCAGTAGACCAAATATGACAACTATATTCAATGCACGGAGAAATGGTAGATTTGTAAATCTGCAAGATGGATTCTAACAAGAAAATATATATCACAACACAGTGACCTAACTTTCCTTGCAGTAGATTCTGTCGTGGAGTTATTTCGCAGTGGAGGCTTGTATTTGTTCGACGTACAAAACGTTAGGAACTTGATATAATAGGCATTACGCAGAGTAATCTTGTTGTGGTCGCTGACTACTTTCGTATTCGACTAACTGTCGAATTTTTCTCTTACTCTTCGTTTCTCTTACTACTCCTACTTGTATTAGATGGGAGAGTCTATTAACTATAGAATAAGTGTGTTTCACCATAACAGATTCAAATATTGATTCGATGTAGTCGGTTGGTTTACTGTGTCGTAGCAGACAATATTTCTGACCGGAATCCAACTTACACATTTATAAATCTACCATTTGTCCGTGCATAGCTTGTCTGGTGCTCCAGCTATATATCTCGAGATTTTAGACCAAATCCAATGAATGGGCTGTAATATTATCGATCCTGACCTGGCATCTCAACTTCAGTCACTTTCCCACCAGCGTGAGTTGGATTTTCTCTGTCTTTTCTATACATAGCAGTTGTTCTCATGAGCTCCTCTCGTTGGTACATCGACTGCGTGAATTTAAGCCTAATACTAGACTGGCTATTAGGTCTCATCGTTTTACTGTTGAAATAGTTAATGTAACCGCAAGTCCTATTCTAATATTTTCTTTTCTCAGTTTTCTCACCTCTGGCTGCACTCTCTACCAGTTTCTTGCTTCAAAAATCTAAATGCACCGTCAATCGTCACCTTTGTTCTTCCTCTATTCTGTTCTTTTATTGTCCTTTCCCTCTCACTAAAGTTTTCTCATTCTTTTCAACTTCTACTTCAACCCCTTGCATTTTAGTGGCGTTGACGTTTGGGAGACAGGTTAAAATGTTTTGATTTTTCAAAATCAAATGACTGGTAAAATTTGACCCCAAATATCACGAAGAGAGAGAGAGAGAGAGAGAGAGAGAGAGAGAGAGAGAGAGAGAGAGAGAGGTAAATTAGATTTTTTTCTTTTAAACCTTCATAGCGTTAGTTTTTGACCAGGTCTAATGAAAAACACCACCCGACTCTTTAGATTTGATGCTTCTACCCGAGAGGGCGCCCTAAATTTTATATATATTAAATATATGCCAAAGGTAAGGAATTCTGAGGAATGAGCGGGTAGTTCAAGGTATAGCGGTGCGGAAATTGGAATCAGGGAACCGGTATAAATCTGTCTTGTTTTCTCCCAGCTATAGCTTAAACAGCAGATATGGGTGACAACTAGTCTATAAGAAGGAAAACTTTGAATTCCAATCCATGGCAACTACTCCACAATATTTCCCAAGAATACTTGGCAATTTGCAGATAATAAATGGAGAAATCTGTGGGGAGTGATGCTCGTCTACATTCGAAAGGATGATGGTATTATAAAAATATGGCAGTCTGACCAGAAAGATCTATTTCTAGGATCGGGTGTTCCATTCTATATAGAAACGAGGATATCTGATGCTGATTTTCAAGGCAGAAAACTATTCTTACTTTGAAAGTTGTCAAAATAGAATCCTTTTTTTTTCAGTCTTGATAAATGTCAGGATATCGGATTCAGATATTTCAAAGAAGATAAGCCTCTCCCTTCACAATCTTCTTCCATTCGGTTTAGCTTCGCTTTGAATTATTTACATAAGTTCGATCTCAAATTTTTTACTTGTTTATTAAATGGGCTTAATTATAAGTTTATCGCCATTCAATGATCAATAAGGAGTTGATATACCGTTAAACAAACAAATCAAATAAACCAATTAAAACTGTTAAAAATGTTTTATGATTGAGCAAGAAGTGATCGCAAATGTATGAGATTCAGTTACAACTGTACGATTGATTTCCTGGTCACTGCTTTCATTTCATTACTGAAAGGTAAAGGAATAAAAAGAAGGAAAATATACGTTATGTTAAAAACTGAGAATGAAACAGCGTGAAAATCATTTGGCCGGACTTACGGCCATATCACGTTGAAACTTCGGTTCCTGGTCGATCGCCGAAGTTAAGCAACGTCGAGTCTAGTTAATATCTAGATGGGTGACCGCTTGGAAATACCAAGTTCTGTGCTTGGATGTGCAGGTAGTGTAATGGATAATGGCCCTGAATTTTTAATCAGAGAGCCATGTTCCAATTTCAGAAAAGTCCTGGGTATGACGATAAACTACACCCAGCTGCAAAACCTATTAATTGTTGTTGTTCCTAAGTCCACCCTGACTCGAGGTGGTAGTACCTGTTCGGGTCACAGCTATGGGCAAATAGTGAAGCCAAACAAAAACAGAACATTATAAAAAGTATAAGAATATATTTTTATATAAAAAAAAACCCGCAATGCATATAATAGTAAAACTACAAACAATACCTACTTATAGTATATATTTGGTTGAAGTCATAAAATTGTGTGCAAAATATTCAGATAACCCATAGAGGTGTTGATATGCCGCTAAACAAAATCAGCCATCCAACCAATCCAATTTAATTCGGGTTCGTTATGTTCACTTACGCACAAATACTCGTTGGAAAGGCATGAATCCATCTCTTTTCCTCCCAGCTATGGGTTAATTAGTGAGACTTGTATCACTAAATCATTATTACCTCAACAACAAATATATATATATATATATATATATTACAATGTAAAAATATTTTTGGGCTTTAAATAATCTGAAAATGGTTCATAAACCTCAGAAAACAAATCAATCAATGAATTACTGTACTTGACAGCATATAAGGCGCACTTTTTTTTACTACAAATATCATTTAAAATTTCCCTGTGTCTTATATGCCATATGCAAGTTTAAAATTCGCAATAGTCGGCCAAAATTAACCCACCTGGCAACTCCTATTAGCTTAGACTTTAAAGTAACTTTCATATACCTATTGTCATTATTTAAAATGCTATTATACAGATTAAAAGTGTTATCATTGATAATATTCATAATATTAATTTCACCACGTTTAATATTAGTATTTATTTCACTAAAATTATATGCAATTAATTCAAATTATATATTTCTAAAATAGATTTGTTTTATTAACATTTTTATTGCAACAACTTCCGGTTGCATTGGTATAAATACAATCAGAATTTTTATATCATAATTATTCAACTAAGATGTTTACAAGACGCACGTTGTACAGATAATATAAATGAAAATTTTTGACTGAATTTCATTCTTTCAGAGCAAGAAAGAGGTTAAGCTACACTGTTGTGTACAAGCTTCAAGTAATAAACTATGCAAAAGAGCATGGAAATAGAGCAGCTGCAAAATATTTTGTCCCTCCGCCTACAGAAAAAAAATGATACGTTACTGGTGGTTGCAGGAAAATAACCTACGGGAAGCGAAGAAAGGAAACTGTAACCTTCGCCACCCAGCCCACACTGGCCTGAAACTGAAGAGGAAATTAAAACGTGGGTTGTAAATGAGAGGAGTACAGGCAGAATCGTTACTATGAAAATAAGGAACGAGGCTAGAAGATTAGCGAACGAAAAGGGGATTCAAAACTTTATAAGAACAGAGGGATGGTGTTATCGTTTTATGAAACCGGAAGGATTGTCAATGCGTACGAAAACATCAATTGTGCAGAGAATGCCAGCTGCCTATGATGACAAATAGTAAAGTTTAATAAGTGTGTTATACATGCTCGAAAAAGAACTCATTTTGATCTAGGCCATATAGAAAATATGGACGAACTCCCACAACTGTGAGTATTAAGGGATCCAAGACTAGTACAATAAAAACGACAGATCATGAGAAGACCCATTATGCGGTCATTCTTGCATGTTGCGCTGATGGCACAAAACTGCCTCCTTTTCTGATTTTTAAGAGAAAAACTATACCGTAAGATAAAATACCAAAAGGTGTTCATGTTCACCCAAAAGGCTGGATGGACGAAACTGGTCTACAGTTATGGCTACGAGTTGAATGAGAAAGACGTCTTGGTGGAATATTACGAAAGCCCTCTCTTCTGGTCTGGGATCAGCTCAGAGCGCATAGGACTGAATCCATTAAAAAGAAAGTGGCAAAATTGAAGACAGAGATAGCGGCTATTCCTGCTGGACTAACAAGTCAGTTGTAACCTCTGGATGAGTCTTTGAATAGACCAATCAAGCAAAACATGAAGGAGCAATGGAACATGTAGATGGCAATGCTTGATAACGACCTTACACTTAGAAGAAGAATAAAAAGACTCAGCTTTGCTCAAGTCTGCGAATGGGTGAAGCAAGCTGTGGATAATATTAGACCAGTAATTGTGAAATCTTTTAAAAAGTGTGGCATTAACAATGCTCTCAATGGAACGGAAGATGACGCATTATTTAATGACGATGATAGTAGTATTGAAAATGAGTATCAGAGTTTTGATAACGAAGACGAAGAATTTTATGGATTTCAAGATGAATTTTTAATAGTAACTCTACTGTTTTGCTCAATTGTAATAATTGCTTGATTTTTGTTTTCTTATCTTTGAATATAATAAAGGTTTTATAGGCTTGTACTCTTTTTTCCTATTATTTTTTGTTTAAATGTAATCATGGTTTGTTTAACCAAAATAATAGCTCATAAATACAACCTAGGCTGTACCATTTACTAAATAATTTTACTAATTACTTATCTTTTATTGATTTACCCTACTGAAATTGGGGCGCGTCTTATACACCCGTACGTCTTATATGCCGCCAAATAAGGTAATCCTTTTTGCGGGGGTGGGGGTCGTGACTGGTTGTACGAGAAATTGATGTCAAACCTTAAAAGGTGAGCTCATTAGACAATGATTTTCTAATACGAGTAGCATGAGTGACATATTTTAAAAACGTCGATGTGGATGACCTACTATCTTTTTTATAAAGGAAACGGGTCTATACTTCAAAATGTGAGGATTTGGATAGGCGTCCGTTATTTATTGCTATAAATATAAATATAACATTAATAATTTATGGAAATGTTCTAGCTGGTAATTAGTGAAGTAAAGCTAAGGTTAAAACTATCTATCCAAATAAAACTTTTATGGCTAAAAACTTAAAGATACAATAAAAAAATTAATAAGGCCTATTGAACGCCCTAGCAAAGGTTGAAATATCATTAAATCTAATAATCTAATCTAAACAAATTCTTCAAAGAAAACTTGTTTCTTTGATGATTACCTTTTGAACGATTCTTAGAATAAAAAAAGGAAATTCTCAGAAAGGCAAAAATGGTTCTCATCTAAAGGGAATAAAATTTTTGAGGAGCAACAGATCATTTTTTTCTTTTATGTCATAATAATAAAATAAATATGGCCAAATTTCCGTACGTCAACTTATCTTTCTATACAGATAGGCACTACAACTTTTTCTTCTCCTCTACAAAAACCCTTTACGATCGGACAATTATTTATTACAGAAAACGAACTCATTTCTCTCAAAACTGTATAGTAATAATTGCTAAGTTTAGATATGGAGCTTGCTTGGTGTGTGAAGTAGTTGCATGTTTTCTGTTAGCGTCATTGGTCACTGTTAGAGCTTCTGTTAAAAATTAACCTTTTCGAATAATCATCACACTGCTAAGATTGGCGAAACACAATGCTATTTTCCTATTCTTACCGGAATATTTTGCCCTGAGCTGTACAAATCTAAATTTTGTAAATTTTAAAAGGTTAACATTTCGAATGCAAATTTTCAAGATTTGAAAGATCGGCGCAACATAATCTTCCTAAACTCATTTGGTCTTTACCTGATTCTACTAAGCTTAGAAAATCTTAGGCGTCTCTCGTAGCTGAATGGAAAACAAGTTTATTTCGCTTATGTAGGGGATACTCCATTTCCATGGCCTTGTGCCTGATACATGTAATTTTAATAGAGAACACAGATGATCTGGTTCCTACAACTAATGTGTTAGACGTTAGTCTTGATATCATCAAATGTTGTTTCGATTTATTAAGTAAAAAGTCAGGGTTTGAATATTTTCTATATGTTGAAGATTTGTCGCTTCGAATAATACTGAGTCTCCAGTAATGTTTTTAGTTGAGTGCAACAAACGTTACATAGCAAATCCAACAGTGGAGCACAGTTCCAAAATCTTCAACACGAAACAACCACTTGCGACATTTTTACAATATAATATTGCAGAAATATAATATTGCAGAAATAATTTTCCTGTGTTTAAGTAGCATTTTTACCTTTCTTAAACTAAAATATTTAACCGTACTTAAAGGTATTTAACTCTTATGTTTTCCGATGAATCAAATTTCAAAATTTGATTCGATGACATATACTATTTCTTTTATACGCCAATTTCTTTGAGGATGTGGGCGATAATGGCTCTCCACATTTTCTTGTTCTTTGTTTTTTATTTCTCAAAGTAATTCTACTCTTCTAGTGTTTGTAAAACATTTTAATCCGTGAATATATAATAAATAGAAGATAATTAATATTATTAATTATTTTATTTCCACAATTAACAATAATAATTTTTGCATAAGTATTCAAAAGAAAACTTGGCAGTAAATTAAGAGCCACAAAAATTGAACCATTCTCACACTCCCTGTGTCCATCTGTTCTCATTTTGATTATTATAGACATGACATTTCGGCCATGTACTCTCTGGCCATTATCTGGTGTCCACCGATTATCTGATGTGAGATATATACTGATTATTGCGTTATTCTCTCCTTGTGATGCCAGTTATTCCATTTATGACGATAAGGATGATCAGAAAGTACTTGGTCGAAACTATATTAGATAATTATTATAATAATATCTATAATAGTCAAGATGAGAAAACTTGTTTGAAATAATTTAAATATATTTAAAATTCATCTCAAAAATTAAAAAGACAAAATTATTGAAAAGCGGTACGAACAAAATAACATTGAATATAAGGTTTCCAAAATATACCAGTCATGTCCTTGGGAACAATGGCGTAGAATATATAGGAGTTGTGGAGCTCTTATCTCGTGGTCGTGAGTTCAGTCCTAGGATGGACAAATAATAACTGACATCACATGGACAAAAAAAAATCCTTAACAGTTTATCCCATATCATCCAAACAATGGACACCTGATGAGGATCAGAGATTACTTGGCTGAA